ACTGTCACAGCCATGCTCGATGGGCCAGCAGGGACAGTGCTGGGGCTTCACAGGGTTACACTCCTGGCACAGGTCCCGCTGCAGGGAGGAGGAGAGCTCAGCAGGTCACGGGTGGCGGTTGACAGCCACGAAGGCAAATGCTTCCATGCCCAACCTGCACTTCGACTATGCAATGCCTGCTGCAGGGCGACAGCAAGATCCAAACCCATTCAAAGATGCTTCTATGTGCTTTTGCACACTGCTGAGGACACCCAGAGTTATAAACTACACTGACAAATTCTGGCAAGGCTCAGATGCTCATTTCAGGATTTGCACGCCAGCGCAATGATCAGACCAGAGCGAGACACACGTTGATTATACCTGTAACTACCAGGCATTTGCGCCTTCCCATGAGCCCTCAGAGTTGGTACAACCCCTGGCAAGGCCTTGAGTATCCTCCTGACAGCACCTACGCTGCCCTCGTGCTGTGAAGCCAACCTCAAGACAATCGTGTCCCTTGGCAGGCGGGAGGCCTGGTCCTCTCCAGCAGGAGACTGCCTCACAGGCAGTTGTGCAGAGGCTTCCTGCGCATCGCTGCTGCCCGGCCCTGCTCCAACAGGCAGCACCGAGGCAGAGTTGCTGCCTGCGACTAGCACAGAACACTGAGGAAGCCCAGCAAGGGGTAAGTGGTTGCTGGGATGGATGAGCTGTGCTCAGCAGGGCACAGGGATCCCGATATGAGACCTCCCTGCTCCAGAGCCAAAACAACCCCCGGGGCTAGCCCATTTCCTAGGCCTGAATCACTCCCACACTTCCCTCTTTTCCCCAGCACAGCCTCAGGAGAAAACAAACCTCAGCAGAAAGGAGAACAGCCTCCTCCTCCCTCCCCAGTTTAGTCTGGTACCTGAGGTCAGCACAACAGGAAATGAGCGCTGGGAACCCCCAGCTGCTTCCTGATGTGTCCGGCCAAGTTCATTCTCTGCCGTTAAACTAACAGCAGCTATTTCCTGCCCCACTGAGGGCCCAGACACCTTTGCAGGGCAGTGCATCACCCTGCCTCTCTGCAGGACCCCAAGAGGAAACCACCAACAGCCCTCCACGAGAACAAAGCAAAAAGTACCTGTGCGAAAAGCTAAGAGGAGGAACAAGATAACGCCCATGCTGAAAGTGGGACACAAGGCACAGAGAAAGGGAGAAGTTTCTCCATATCTGAGAGAGGGTGGTGGGTCATACCTGTGCGGGGGGATACAGGGCACAGAAACCACGGGCGCCGCAGCTCTTTTCTCCGCCAGGATCTTCCGTGCTTTCTTCATCTTGATCCTAGACTTAGCCTTTGCTTTTTTCACTTTCTCGGAGCTCCAGCCTTTCCCCTCCTCCTCCTCTTCCTCATCCTCCTCTTCCCCCTCACTGTGGGAGAGGGCGGGAAGTCTGCGCACAGAGCCTGGCGGCGTGTGGATGTCACAGTAGGCAGTTTTGCGCACACTGAAGGAGGTACCGTTGGCCCCTGTCTCCCGGACGGGCTCCATCTTCATGTACAGCCCGGCCTGCTGGGCGCAGGTGACGTGGAAGGCAGTGTAGCAGTTGGCTTTGTGACACTGGATGCAAGCCCCGGAGCCACGCTGCTTGCAAATGTAACAGGTCAGCTTCCAGCGCGCAGGCGGGATGTGCTCGATGCTGTCGATGGGCTCCAGGAAGACAGTGTTGGCAAAGCACACCTCCGGGATCCAGAGGGCACAGACCACGTGTGCCCAGCGCCCATCATCCGTCTGCTTGAAGGCCCCCCCCTTGTTCGGGCAGAGGGCACAGTCCACGGCTCGCGAGGGTGACTGCAGGCACCGTCTGCAGAGCCACTGTCCCTCCGGGATGTAGGGTACCCCGTAGCACTCCTGATGCACAGCCAGGTTGCACATGTCGCAGAAGAGGATGACATTGCTGTTCTGGCACTCCCCGTCGTTGCAGATGCAACAGACGGCATCCTCATCCACCAAGGCGTTTGGATCCCCCTTGTTGTGGCTCTCGAAGTAGGACTCCTTCTCCAGCCGGTCCATCAGGTACTCAAAGATCTCCTGGGGAATGGGACTCACGCCTTCAGTCTTCCGCCGCTCGTTCATGATATCCAGCCAGATGTAGTCTTCCTCGTCCATATCGTACTCCACCTCCTCATCCAGCTCCTCTGCCGACTTCTCGATGTACCTGGAAGGACAGCACGGGAGGGTGAGGGTACGGCCTGTGGGAGCTCAGAGCTGCTGAACCCTAACTCCTGCAGGCCAAGGCTGAAGGAATGTTTAAACGCTACAGCCAAGCTGTAAGTCTAAATAAAAAAAGAGGGACAAGGCAGAAGCATGCAGAAGCGGGAGGTGCTGCTGCACCCTGAGCAGCACAACAGCGCATTAGGCACGACACACAAAATAACACTCGTCTAACGGGCAAGGCCTTGGAGACTTATCAGCGCAAGATGGGAGTCTGCATGAGCCACCAAGAAGGTGCCAGATGCTCTGGAGACAGCAGCCTCATGCCCAAGACTGAGTAACAACCAGACATGGAGGCATCATGTTTCGTTAATTCTAGTGAGGGCGGCTGCGCCTTCTCTTTCACTCTCAGTTGCGGGCAAGGGGATGTTACTTAGAGAGGAAAGAGCTGTAACCCTGAGGCTACTGCTCCATCGACTGACGACAACCACCCCCCGCCATCACAGCAAGTGGCATTGCAGACACCTTAAGGGGAGGTTTCTTTTCCAACACCCTGACACCAAATAACCCATAACACCATATCCCATCCCTGGAATGCGGTGCTGGTTTCTCAGGGCACGTGGCAACTAGGACGACAGGGGTGGCCACACAGGTCTTACTTTGGTTCAGCATTAACTCCCTGCTTGAGGTATTACTTTGGGCCACTGCACTCGCCAAATCACACATGGGAAAACCGTAGGATAACCAAGACACATTAAACACACACATAGACACATCATTATGGGTACACCTTGGTGCTGGGGGGCTCTAACGCTACCCCAGCATACCTCTGAAGAGTGATGGGGAAGGCAGGAGGTCACATTCGTTTTTTGTTATGCTGCTCCAGCAAGGAAAGAGCACAGCAATACAACTGTCAGCAATGACCTAAACAGTGACTGAGCACTCTGCAGGTGCAAAGATGCCTCAAAACCGGGCTGTGATGCCAGACAGAGCTCTGAGAGCCTGAAGCCATGGGACGGCCAGCTCCGTAGGACCCGGGAGAGGCAGACAGAGGCCATTTCCACGAGCCACAGACAAGCCACTTGCACAGAGCAGGGCCAATTCCGCCTCCAGACCCAGGGCACAAGCCAGGGCTCCCTGGGAGCCTCCTCGCATCCCAGCCACAGACAATACCTGTAGTAAGAGGTGGGGCGAGGTGGGGCATCTGGGGTGTCCTGCTCCAGCTCCCGGTACACCACCTCAGGGAGCTTGGGGGTGGTGCCGGCCGAGGCGTTGTGGTGATGGTGGTTGGAGTCCTTGCGCTTCTCCTTGTTCTTGTGCTTGCCAGATTTAGGCGGGACGCTCTGGGTCTCCGTGTTCTCCTTATTGCTCCCGTTCTCGGGCACCTCCTCGGGAACCTCCTCATCCTCAGACACCACGTCGAGGTTATCGAAGATGCTGATGCGATGGACGCGGCCGTGCAGGTCCACTTCCACCATGCGTTGGGCCTGGGCGTAGGTCATCACCTCTCGGCCGGGCGACTGGGAGGTCTCCGAAGGGTTGGGCGACTGCTTGTTGGCGGCGCGGGCCTGCCGCCCCTTCTTCTTGTGCTTGCGCAGG